ATATGCGTACCGAACCGAAAGCACTGTATCGAACGGTTCAATATCGATACGAATATCGTTGCACCCCTAATAAGCAGGCACGTGGTAGCCTGGTTACTCTCAGAGTGGTTTCTCAGCAGGACATCTTTCCTTGAAGAAAAACTGTTCCAGACACTATTCATTTTAAATTTTCTGGATAATAAAATATGCTGAAGTTGAAGCAGTCAAATTGACAAGATGTTAGGGACCTTATGAACCAGTGCAATGTTTTACCCATCCAGGTGCAGATGTGAAGGAGGCTCAGGTCATCTGCGTATCCACAGGGACAAAGTGCATCGGTCGTGAATACATGAGTAACCGAGGTTTGGCCCTCAATGACTGCCATGCAGAGATTGTAGCTCGTCGGTCTCTCATTAGGTTCCTGTACTCCCAGCTGGAGTACTTCCTCAGGTAAAAGCCTCCCACCTACTTTCAAAGTGCTCCCTACAAACACTGTACATAGAACTGAGTCTACCAAAGCAGTCTTTACCCTTACTTACTGAATCAAAAGAACTAAATACAGTTGGTCTGTTGACTGTTTCTACAGTGGTGTGAAAAAGTGTTTGGGCCCTTGCTGATTTCCTATTTTCTGTATGTTTGTCATACCTAAATGTTTCAGATCATTAAACAAAAATATAAATATTAGACAAAGATAACACAAGTAAACGTGTCTATTATTAAGGAGGAAAAAATCCAAACCTACATGGCCATGTGTGGAAAAAGTGATTGGCGATGGCCCCAAAACCAAATAGCTCTTTGGGCCACCCTTAGCAGCAACAACTGCAGTCAAGCATTTGCAATAACTAGCAATAACTCTTTTACCGCACTGCAGAGGAATTTTGGCCCACTTTCCATAATTGTTGTATTTCAGCCACATCCGAGGGTTTTCGACTATTAACCACCTGTTTAAGGTCATGCCACAGCATCTCAACCGGTTTCAGGTCAAAACTTTGTTTTGACCTTGTTTACTAGTGTTATCTCTTTCTAATGTTTATATTTGTTTGATCATCTGAAACATTTAAGTGTAATAGAAATGGAAAAAATATTAAATCAGGAAGGAGGCAAACACTTTTTCACATCCCTCTAGTGTTTTAACAAATGAGCAATTACTGTCAACCAGCCGTTCTGAACATTTCAGAAAGCACTGCTAGCCTACCAGTCTTTTGTCTGCATTTCTGTTTTAGTAACAGTGAAGAAGAACATCAGAAATCCATTTTTATGCGGTGCGATAACAGTCAAGGCTTCAGAGTAAAGGAAAATGTCCAATTCCACCTGTATATCAGCACCTCCCCCTGTGGAGATGCTCGCATCTTTTCACCTCATGAAGGCGGAGTGGACGGTAAGTGGATTATTATGATTGTTACAAATAGAGATTCATAGTGATGAAACAATATTTGTTTGCCTGAAAATATGTAGGTTACTGTTATGTCGTCAGTGATTTTTTACCTGTGTCAGATCAGGGAGATGGACATCCCAACAGAAAGGCCCGTGGGCAGCTGCGCACTAAAATTGAGTCTGGTGAGGGAACCATACCTGTGCACTCCAGTAACACCATCAAGACATGGGACGGTGTTCTTCACGGAGAAAGGCTGCTTACCATGTCTTGCAGCGACAAGATTGCAAGGTGTCTGTTTTGTTTGTTACATGCTCACATGGTGATTAGCAACATCACATGTTGTCCTTTCCTGGGGGCTTTTATGGCCAGGTATAAGGGCATAAAAGCTCTTATACCTGGGCCCTTTATATAATCTTTGTAAAGTATGAAAGTACGGATAACAATCTAAGGAGCTTGGAAACAAAAGCGTCTGGACTTAAGTTTTCTTGAAGACGTTTCATCTGAGAAGTTCTTAAATTCTAAGAAAAATTGGTGGAGAGTACCAGATTTTAAGCCCTATGGGAGTGTCCCCCCAAGAAGGTCATGGACCCCCTTATGATCGACTACCTAATCACACGAGGCAAGGTGTGAAAATCGACGTGGGTCACAATCAGCTAAGGTTTCGGGTGGACCTACTGTGAAACCTGGCCCCACCCTATCATGTGATTTCCTGAGGTCAGATGGCCCAGGGTGTGAGTGGGAGTTAAAGCATCTGGGAAGGATCTCAAAACTGGATTATAGATGACAGATAGTTGGTGTCGTAAGCCCCGCCCTCTGTTCAAAGATGATTGTTCACAGTGGACATAGATGCTTCATTCTAGAACTGAAGAAGCTTCTCGGATGAGAGGTGAAACGTCTTCAAGCAACTGAAAGAAGTCCAGACGCTTTTCTTTCCAAGCTCCTTAGACTACCATGACCTGGATGACCGAGAACCTTCACAGATATACAGATAACATTAAAATTATACCCTCCCCACCCCCTCATATAAATTTGAGAGTCTTGTCAAAAATTTCTGAAGTTCATTTTTAGCTGAGCAAGGGATTTTCAACATAGCATTTATAAACATACTAACCCTTTTTACCTTCTTCAATATGATATGTGCCCTAATTACTAACTTTCTAAGGTGGCCTTTGTGGCTGGAAAGAAAATTATGCAAGGCACTGCTGAGAGGCTGGGCCGATACAATATGTAATAACCAAGTACATCCATGAGCCTTGGTTTTATTTAATGTTTTATTAAATAAATAATAGTACTCTGGGAATACTATGAACAAGCATCTTATGCTTCCACATCGTGAGATAACATTAGCCAGGCAAACTTAAATGAAATGGGCTCAGCTGTCATCATCATCATTGGACACATTTGGTTTCCTCCTAATTCAGAGTGAGCTAATGGCAAGAAGGCGAAGGAGGAGAAGAAGAAGGCGGCGGCTGAGAAGAAGGCGGCTGAGAAGAAGGCGGCGGAGAAGAAGGCGGCGGAGGAGGAGACGAAGAAGGTGGTGGAGGAGAAGAAGAAGGCGGCGGCTGAGAAGAAGGCGGCGGAGGAGGAGAAGAAGGCGGCGGAGGAGGAGAAGAAGAAGAAGGCGGAGGAGGAGAAGAAGAAGGCGGCGGAGGAGAAGCGGCAGAGGAGAAGAAGAAGGCGGCAGAGGAGAAGGTGGTGGCGAAGAAGAATTTTGATTGTACAGGTCGTCGAATAGGCAAAATAGATTTTGGTGTGAACTCATTTCTACTAGCCATTGTCTATGCTGTCGTCTAAATGCACAAGTTTAACACTCCATCTTCATATTTATAGCCTTGTACTATCCATTTGTTCTAAATATTAAAACCAGCTCTGCAGGATCACTTTAGTTTGAAGTGTTTTGGAAGAGATCAATGGGAATCCTGTTGATGTGTACAGAGGCTGAATCTAGGAGGACACTAACAGCAGCAGACCCCTCTCTGCCTGTATCAGATTTATATTTTCAGGAAATACTAATCTGCTTTATTTCTTTGTTTCTGTCAATTTCTCTGAAGATTTTTCTCTGCTCCTTCAGGTGGAACGTTGTCGGATTTCAAGGCTCTTTGTTGAGCTACTTTACTGAGCCCATCTATTTCTCCAGCATCATCCTGGGCAGCCTGTACCATGCCGACCACCTCTCCAGAGCCATGTACCAGCGGATTACTGAGATTGAAGAGCTGCCACAGTCCTTTAGCCTGAACAGGCCACTGCTCAGTGGTGAGAGGCACTGTAGTTTTCCACAGTTCACTGATTTCTCTGATCTGTTCATTCGGACCTGATTGTTCTGAGAATCTGAAACCAGGTCCTGCTCACAGATTTTATGGAAAATTCCCAAACCAAGAGATATAATTTTTGTTTTAATTTTTAACATTTGAAAGGTTGCCAATTAATTAGTAAAATAATCCATGAGGTAATGAAAATGGCTGGCAAAATGTGTTCACATGTTTTGAACCTGTGTACAATACACAGCATTGATATCAAACCCATTTTACATCATGGGCCATGTACAGCCCACTCTGATGTGAAGTGGGCCAGTAGTGTGGATGGCATTCATGGCCATGGGTGTCATGGTCTGGAGTCTGCGACTCCGTGTTTATGTTTAGTCTATTAGTATTCTGTGGTTTTGGTTACCTTGGGTGTTTGTATTCTTCTGTTCATGTTCCTATGTTCTGTGTCCCCCAGTCTGTGTTAAGTTGGTGTGTTATGTCATTGCGTGTATGTGTTTCCTGTTTTATTGTGAAGGTCTGCGTCTTATGTGAGTGTTTTCAGTTTGCCTCCCTAATCTCGTCACGATAATCACTCCCAGCTGTGTTCCCCACCTGCGTGTAATCTCCCTGTGTTCTCTATGTTCACGCAAAGGGTGAATGAGCGCCCCAGGAAATAAAGCGAAGGGAGTCAACCGCCCACCGGATAGCCAAGCACTCTTTCTCCACAGTAATGTACCGCCTCTCCCACTCGGACAGCTTCCGGCTAATGTAGAGCACGGGCCGGTCTCTACTTGTGGACGAACCTGCCCGCCCCCCAAGTGGTACCCGAAATACTGAACCTCCCTCCGTCCAACCGCAGACTTCTTTGGGTTGGTCGTGAGCCCCGCCTGCCTCAGGGACTCCAGGACTGCAGCCACCCGCTGCACATGCTCCGCCCAGGTGTCCCTATGGATGATCACGTCATCCAAGTAGGTGGCAGCATACGCAGCGTGCGGACGCAGCACCCGGTCAATGAGGCGCTGAAAGATGGCCGGGGCTCCAACAAGCCGAACGGAAGCATGATGAACTGGCACAAACCGTACGGAGTGGAGAAGGCGGTTTTCTCCTTGGACTCTGCAGACAAGGGAATCTGCCAGTAGCCCTTGGTTAAATCCAGTGTCATGAAAAAACGGGCCGTGCCTAATCGGTCCAGAAGCTCGTCGACCCAGGGCATGGGATAAGCATCAAACTGTGACACCTCCTTCAGAACCATATAGACCCATCCTTCTTCACCATGAGAACGATGGGGCTACACCAGGCGCTGTGCGACTCTTCTATTACTCCCATCTTCAGTGTTTCGGCCAATTCCCACTGAACGATTTGCCTTTTGTGTTCAGGGAGCCTGTAGGGCCATGAACGCACCATCACGCCAGGCTGTGTTTCAAAATGATGCTCAATAAGAGACGTTCAGCCGGGCAGGGGGGAGAACATGTCGACAAAGCGCTGTTGCAGCGCTCTCTGGGCCTGTGTGAGATGGTCATCACAATGGAGGGAGGCAGGAATGATAGAATTTGGCCCCAACTCATCTCTCTCCTTAACCAGGCTCACTAGAGAAGCAGACTCGGCCTCCCTCCATGCTTTCAGGAGGTTGAGGTGATAAATCTGCGTGGCCCCTCCCCTGTCCATTCGTGCAACCTCATAGTCAACGTCCCCCACTCGCCGTGTGACCTTAAAGGGACCTTGCCATTTGGCGAGTAACTTTGAGCTAGAAGAAGGGAGTAATACAAGCACTTTGTCTCCCGGTGAAAATTGCCTGAGTCTAGCCCCTCTGTTATACAGGTGCTGCTGACGCTGCTGAGCCTGGAGCAAATTCTTCCGTGATAACCTGCCCAAAGTGTGGAGTTTCCCTCTCAGGTCCAACACGTACTGAATCTCGTCTTTTTGCGGGGCTCGGACCATCCTCCCAGCTTTCTTTAATTAGGTCGAACACCCCACTTTGAACGGCCGATCCTCGCCAGTCAGCTTGCAGGCACGGAACCGCCGGCGATGGTCTTCCGGGGTGAGGCCCATCCGGTCCAACATGGCCCGGCACACGTCGTCAAAGCTGCTCCACGAGGCTGGCGGCAGGCCTTGGGCCCACTCCGCTCGCAGCCACTGGCACGTTCCACCGTAGCACGGAACGCCTCCAAAAAAACCTGGGGATCGTCACCGTCTCCCATCCTGGGCATCACCACTAACAGAGGCGGCGACTTCGGCGACGCAGCACCTTTTGACCAGTTGCTCCAGGACCTTGGTCTGGTGGTCTGAATGTTCCTGGAGCTTCATCAGATGTTCCCGCTGGGCCACGGCCTGGTCCCGGCACATCGTCGCCAACTCCGCCAGCATCTGTGCCAACAACTGCACAGGCTGAGTGGGCGACGCATCGTGGGGGTCAGACATCCCACACTGGGTTTTAGCACCACTTGTGAAGTATGTGACACACACACCTATGCACCGTGACAGCTCGTTCCAGTCCAGCCAACCTCCCGCTCGACTCTGCCGTCACTATATAGACACACAGAAGGAAGACACTCATGATACAATCGCCACCACCTGTGGCTCCCCTGCCTCCCGGTACCACCCCCCTGAGCTCACCACTCCACCCCTCCCCTGCAGCTACACCAGGGACCACACCTCCACCACACACACATTTCCTCACCTTTTCTAAAACTGTCCGGTGGGCTGGATTGGTGTTTTCAATGAGCCGACTCTGAAACTCGGACCTTTTGTACAGCCAAACAGCTATCTCATTCATGTTTTTTAAAATGGTTTAATGTGCCCAATATGCAGGAATAAGTAACACAGAGGCCCGTCAGCCAGGAAAAGCTCCAAACTTCAGTGTGAACTGGACGGTGGGGGACAAGGGTTTAGAGCTGATCAATGCCACCACTGGGAAAGATGATCTGGGTCGACCCTCCAGGCTTTGCAAACATGCCCTCTACAGCCGATGGATGAATCTACACTGCAAGGTAACACAGTGCTGATTTTTCAATGCATGTACTGTAGTGTGAGATTGCATACTGTATCTATCCGGTCTTTAAGTGATGACGTGATGAATCCTGCTTCCGGGCCCAAAGTAGTCTGCATTTAATACGGCTGTTGTGTTTTTAACATGTTTTAATGCTTTTTATCTTGTTCTATTTAATCTCAACGAGCCCCTAAAAACAGTCAGTGATCACTGTCGACCTCTCGGTTTTTATTATCGCTAATCATTTTAAAGCTCAGTTTTTAAACAATTACGATGTAGCTACAGTATATTAATGCCTAACCTCGTATTGTGGATGGATTATCTCAGTTGTTCTCCTGGCTGAAGTTTGGTCCGTTTACAGCATCCTGCCATGCGACTGTATTTGCCCCTAACCATCAGGAACCCTCACGTTAACTTTTATCAAGTCCTCCAGCTTTACTGTTTATGCTATGCTAACATAGCTTTGTCGCGCTAGTGATCACGTAGCACATCATTATATAGCAGCTAGCCCAACTTCAGTAACCCTACAAACGTCACTGCTGTTTAGTTTTCTGTCTTCATTTATCTTGGAAGTGATAACAGAGCTGTACGTTTTAATGTTTCAGAAATCTCTCAGTCAGAACATGTTATATCATGTTTAGGTGGAAGCTAGCGAGCTAACTTCCTGCTAACTTCTAACTCTGAATGTAATAAATCTTGTTTTCATGGATACCTGGATGTTAAACTTCATTGTTACACCTGGTAAAGCAGCAACGCTGATCATTTTATTACAGATGAAAGAATTTAGACAGCTTTTAACTCTCTGTGATGCCCCAGTGATTGTGTGACCTGCAGCGGAGTTTGGGCCCAGTTACGGCTAATGACGTCAGACTTAACGACCGGATTAATAATGAAAGTGTGTGAGCAGGAGGTCTGGCCAGAAAGCCTGCGCGCGAGCTCTTTTCTCTTCCTGCACTGTCCAATAAAGGCAAATGCCAAAAAGATGTATTTTTAAAAAGTCATTCCTGGTTGTTGCACATTATTGCTGTTGTCTAAGTGAAGGCTTGTCTCCATTATATCATAGCTCTCCTCCATGCTGCGAATCAGAACGGTGAGACCCAGAAGCTACCATGAGGCCAAACAGGCAGCAAAGGAATATCATTCTGCAAAGCAGACACTCTTCAGGGCCTTCCACAATGCTGGACTGGGCGCGTGGATAAAGAAGCCTATAGAGCAGGACCAGTTTGCTCTCTCCAGCTGATGTACCTCATTCTACCTTGATTTTGTAGCATTGTGCTACTCCCTCTTAGCCTGGACTACATGTTAAAAAGGTCAATATTCAGTCAATTATACAACTTCATTCGAAGGGTAAATGTAAAAACAGACCGAGAATAGCAGTAACTTTCTAAACTGTTAGTTCTTTCTCAGGTATGGTTATGCAAAATTAATCAAGTATGAAAACCTTTGTTTTCACATTCTGTATTGGGAGCTCTAATGATCAGAGCTGCACATCTCTCACTGACTAAACTCACAAGGACACAGCATTTCTTTCTGAGTTCTAATACACACACTCGTATGTCTTATCTGCTTGAAAAATGTGTGTCGTTGCATCTTCTGTTCTCTGGGGCCCGTTCTTCGTACGTCGCTCACTACATCCAAGATCAAATGACACATCCAAGATCAAACCATCGCGGTAACCGTGAGCTCGCTAATCCGGTTCCCCGAACACACCTGCTGTTGACGATTAGTACAGCTGGACGCAGTAATGTGACATCACTGGGTGTCGTAAAAGGGGCTACGCATCGATAGTAGAAACATTGATCGGCAACCCTCTGATTGGTCGGCGAAAATGTCGACGGAGTGCGCTCGGCTCGGTATTTTTCGGCAGCAGAGCAAGAACTC